TCGCACTGCCTGTCCCATCTGGGAAGGTGTGTTCCCAGTACCCCAGGTTGAAATTCTGAATGCATCTCCCACAGAATCATGGTTACACTGTGCATGAATGAGGGTCTTGGTCCATTATGGGTTAACTAAAACTTTTTAAACTGCTACTCTGGGCACTTTGCCAAGATGTATAAATAGCTTTGTTTTCATGGGAAAATGTGTTTAAAGTTCCAGACAACTAATTCACACATGAACCTGGGGAATGTCTACATGAATTACTGAGGCATGAAAGAAGGACACAAGTCCAGGCTGTCTTGGTCACGTTTGGTTGGTTGGTTTTGTAGCTGTATTCTACTTACTCAGATGAAGTTTCTCACTCACTTCAGGGAGTAAACTTCGCAGATGATGATATACTTTGCTACCTTTCACTCATCTCCCCCCAGATTCAAAAATAATAATGTGAAACTGAAAAATGAGATTATACATTTTCAGCAGCATCCTTATTTTTTTAAAGACCAGTTGTTTTCTACTGATGGAAGATTTAGCCATATTTAAATCATCTTTGTTTCGGAGCCATTAGGACTTAGTAAAGAGTACTTTGCTCTTATGATGTGGCTCTTTCCCCCCCACAGGTATGTGGTCTGAGGAGAATTATGCAGGTCGTTTACTTCTGTGTTAGAAAGGTGGAGAAACTAAACACAAGATTAAATTAGATTGAAAATGCATTCTTTCTTTCTTCAACTTCTAGAGTATGCCTTCATGATCATCGTTTCGCTGGTGATGGACCTAAGGCCTAGCTACTCAGTTAGTGGGAGAGCTGGGACTAGAACCCAGGTTTTTAGATGTCCAGCCCTGGCACCCACAGATTTCTGGGGCTAAGCCAGAATATAGAAATTTGAAAGATGATTCCATACTTCTGGATCTCTTGCTGTTTTGTAGTATATTTCACACATTTTTTATTTGTAAGGCAGTTAGGGTGGTGATACCTTCGCCTTATAAGATTGTAATATTGAAAAATATGATTGCAGAGGACTTAGGTGCCAAATGCGAAATAAAAAGTGACTGAATAAAAAGCCAACATTGCTTTAGTACCTTAATGTATTTTAGGGAGAATTCAGAGATTGGGCAGAAATGACATAAAATTAGATTTTTAGGATTTAAGAATATATAAAGTGTCATAATTACTCATACTTTCATCCATATTTTATATATCTGCCACAGTGTTATTCCCACTGACTTCAAAAGAAGCTGTACATGTGTACTTAGGAAGTAAGAGAGAAATGTGATAAAAAAAAATCTAGGCAATTTTGAATTACTGTTTTTTGCAAATGGAGTATTTCCTGGGCACTTGTTCTACATAAACCAATAAGCAATAGAGTGCACCTTTACTAGAACAGGCTTCTACTTAATGAGGTTTGAGTTTATATTGTAACCATTATAGCAACGGGTAGAAAGTATTCCCGCTGCACAGCACATAAGTGCAGGGCAGCTGGGGGTAAGCACAGCAGTGTTTTCCCTTTATAGTGAAAGTGCTTTGAACAGTACAACAAGAATAGTTAGTTCAGCCGCAGGACTTGAAACCTTAGAGAACCAACTGACTTAGTGCTGGCTTGAAAATTTATTTTGCCTGCTGTCCCTTTGTGGGACTTTCTTTGTTTGAAGCAAAATACCGGCCCTGGTTGAACCTGCACAAAACGTGGAGTTTGCAGGACCAGAGAATGAGGTGTCCCCAGGGCTTCTTTACAAGCTGACTAATGGTATGTAGTACTTCAGTGGGCTTGCTCCTGGCCTGTTCTGCACTAGGGCGCTATCAAGTGGCAGCATCAGGAACTGACGCTGCTATTGCAGCACTCCCTCTTCTGCCAAGCACTGTGAGAAACACATTTTTGCTTTTTGGAGGAATGAGGCTGCTTTGGATCAAGAGTTATAGGGAAGCAATGAACTGACAATAATGAGGTCAGAGATGTGTCTGGAAGTTGGATCCTTAACCAGCCATTTTATTTGGCATCCTCTTAAATCCAGCATTCACCGAGAGAGAATTCAAAATTATTTAAAGGTCTTTTCTTACTGGAAAAAACTTTAATGCAGTCTTTCAAATAGTCAGGTGATTTCTTCATTTTGGTAATAGCAATTGTTGCCTTAATTTGTAGGCTATAATGCTGATTTAGATTAAATTTTTTCTGTACACTGTATAAAGTGTTCACCACCCCAAGTCAAATCTCTGTCCATCACCATTTATCCTCTCTATACCCTCCTTCACCTCCCTCCAACCCCTCCCCACCCTGCAATCACCACACACTGTTGTCTATGTCCATGAGTTTTTTCTCTTTTGTTATTTTTTTGTTTAGTTACCCCCTTCCCCATACCCCAAAAATATCTGCTGCATCCCAGTGCTGGGCATGTGAGGTCTCTGTCCTCAAAGCCTTGCTGAGGAGCTTGGGAAACAAGTGAATGAATGAAAATTAACAATGTGCCAAATGCAGTGGCATGGACCTCAGGTCTGGGGCTATCTCAAGGATATTGTGCAGGAAAACTGGGATTGAGCCTTCAGAGGAAAGGAAGCCTTAGCAGATAGTGAAGGCATTTCAGGGCCTGAGGAGTGGGCCAGTGTGCACAGGACTTGGGGTAAGAAGTGAGGGGCCAGGGTGGCTGAGAGTTCTGTTCAGGAAATAGGAAGAGGGGTCAGAGTTGAGATAAAGATTACATTGTGAACAACTTAAATGGGAGTTTGACTAGTTACCTTTCTATAAGAATGGGCCACAATAAGAGGGTAAATATGGATGCAGTAATCTTTGTGTGTATCAGTGAGGCAGTTTTAATGCATTTCCCCTTCATTTAGGAATACTAAAGTGATTAAATGTGTGAATGCAGGGTTTTAAAGGAGTTGATCTTGAAAGTTTCTTCTATTTATAATTTATTAATTTGTGAAATTAAATGTAACTCTTATAGAAGGAATAGATTTACAAGGAGACTTTTAAAATTACATTTAATGGTATTACTTTCAAAGGGAATAACTGGCTCAGAAACCTCACTAGTAACTTATAAGATCTAAAGAGTGATAACTGGCCTTCTGTGATTTGGGTGAGAGAGAAAAAACTAAAATGAAACTAGCCCGGCCATTGTGGCTCAGTGATTGAGCGTTGACCCGTGCACCAAGAGGTTGCTGGTTTGATTCTCGGTTAGGGCACATGCCCAGGTTGTGGGCCAAATCCCCAGGTGGGGGGCATGCAGGAGACGACCACACTGTGTTCTCTCTCTCATCGGTGTTTCTCTCTCCACCTCTCCCTTCCTCTATCTCTAAAAAATTCAATAAAGACCAAAAAAATGAAACTAGGGTTCAGATTGTAGACAGAATACCTGTTCCAAGTTGCTGGAGACATTTGGCAAAATTATCTGTGCTCTCTAGCAGCCAAGGCAGAGAAGGACTCACGGCTGGCAGTTACGCAGTTTGTCGTGACAATTAGAAGCATAGCTACTCACACCACTTAATCTTCAGAAAAATGTTTTTTTGTAGGCACTCATAAAGAGAATTCTCATGAAGAATTTTCTCAACAGTGTCTCCCTAGCTAATGTATCAAATGTCAAACTGAGCCCGGCTGGTGTGGCTCAGTGGTTGAACATCGACCCATGCACCAAGAGATCGCCAATTCAATTCCCAGTCAGGGCACTTGACCAGTTTGTGGGCCCAGTCCCCAGGGGGGCATGCAGGAGGTGGCCAGTCAATGTTCTCGCTCATCAATATTTCTGTCTCTCTTTCCCTCTCTTTCTAAAATCAATAAAAATTTTGAAAAAAAAATGTTGAACTGTCACTGTAATGTCCCTCAGCCTATATTGCCAGCATAACACCAAAGTGCAGTTCACTACAAACAGTTGTCTGGGGACCTGAAACTATGCAGTCCAAGGAAGGCAATTCACTGGAGCCCTGGCTTAAGTCAAGAATAAAGTGTAGTAAGAGTATGTAAAGCAGTGATTCTTGAATAGTGAGATTCTCTTTTGGATCACACGTTTATTTGGGAAATTGATAATAGGTCTGGATCCCTCTCCTCCCCAATGCCCATATGCATAATTACACCAAATTTTGTGTATTATTTCAGTCCATTTACAGTTTCAGAGGGTTCCCACCCTTACACCTCCCATCCTCACTCATCCATAAACTTCCTGAGGCACACCCTTGGCCTAGAGTTGCAGGAGGGCTACAGTATTCAATGTGGTAAAAACCTGCAGCACAAGAATGTGGGTGCTGATGGGACAGATTCATCTGCTTTACCAGAAGGCTAAGATTGAGTTCCATTTATGAACGTTGATGAACTTGACGGGACATGTCTGAGCAAAAGTTGTTTATTCCACTTTGGCAGGAATGTGGTCAAGAATGTAATTTTTCTTAGAGAGCAACTAAATGTACTTAACACACTGAAAAGGATCCCAGAGCTCTCTCTTACTGAGAAAGCTATGGTAATTTTAACCCAGAAAAATTGTAAGGCAGATGTTACCAAGAACCCTCTGAGCTTCTTTAAAAAGTATGAATTATGCCCTGGCCAGTTTGGCTCAGCAGTTAGAGTGTCGGCCCGCGGACCAGAGTCCCAGGTTCGGTTGCCGCTAAGAGCACATACCTTGGTTGCAGTTTGTCCCTGGCCCCAGTTGGGGTCTTGTGGGTAGCAACCACTCCATGTGTCTCTCTCACATGGATGTTTTTCTCTGTCTCTTCCTTCCTCTCTCCTCCCACTCTATCTGAAGATAAATGCAAAAATGTCCTCAGATGAAGATAAAAAAAAGTGTGAATTATTGGTAATTTTGGTATTTTATATTCTTGGTAAACATTTCATAGAATATCTAACTTTAGCATTTAAAGCTTATTAGTGAATTTAAAATAAAAATCCTGTGTAATAGAATCTTGGGAAATTCAATGACTTTATTTGCTTTGGGGATTGTCTATCTTTGAGCCAGTTGCATGTTGAAAACATCTTGTTTATTTATCCAGTTATATTGGCTTGATATTTATTCTAGTTTCTTTTGCATTGCAGTGTTTTAATCTTGGGTGCTTCAGGCGGAGTTGGAACTTTTGCTATACAGGTGAACAATTTCTTTTTTTCACGTTTGAAAAGTGATTTATTCATGCTGTTCTAGGGCTTCTTGTAGTACAAGTAATTCACTAACAAGAGAAATAGTAAGACTGATGATGATGATGGTTGTAGTTTAAGACTTATTTTGAGCTGCATATTGTAGCTGCAACCTGTTAGGATTAAATAGCTAATGTTTGTAAAATGCTAGCATATAATATGGTTTTTTGTTTTGTTTTGTTTTGAGATAACAGGTTAATAAACACTAAGTTTCAGGTGTATGACATTATAATTCAATATCTATATACTTTAGAGCATTCTCACTACCAAAATTCTAGTTTCCATCCATTATCGTAAGTTTGGCCCTGTTTATCTATTTCACCTTCCTCCCTCTGTTAACTATTCTATTGTTCTGTGAGTTTGTTTTTTGCCTTGTTTTGTTTGTTTCTTATTTGTTGTATATTTCACATGTGAATCAAATAATACAGTTTTTGTCCTTGTTTTGTTTGACTTATTTCACTTAGCATAATATCCTCAAGATCCATCCGTATTGTTACAAATGGCAGGATTATCTGTTTTTTGGATATATTTTTTAATTGGTTGTTTTTGTTATTTTTGTTGTTACGTTATATGAGTTCTTTATATATTTTGGCTATATCAGATGTATCATTTGCAAATATTTCTCCCATTCAGGTGCTTGCCATTTTGTTTGTTGATAGTTTCTGTTGCTGTGCAGAAGCTTTGTATTTTGATGTAGTCCATTTGTTTATTTTTGTTTTTGTTTCCCTTTTCATTGGAGTCAAATCCACAAAACATCACTAAGACCACTTTCCAGAGGCTTAATGATTACATTTTCCATCTATTTTATGGTTTCAGGTCTTATATTCAAGTCTTTACTCCATTTTGAGTCAATTTTTTATGTGGTGTAAGATAGTGGTCTAGTTTTATTATTTTGCATATGGGTGTCCAGTTTTCCCAGCACAATTTATTGAAGGGATTTTCTTTACCCTTATACATTTTTGGTTCTTTTGTTGTAAGTTAGTTGTCCATATATGTGTGGGTTTACTTTGGGCTCTCAGTTCTGTTCCATTGGTCTGTGTGTTTGGTTTTCTGCCAGCACCATGCTGGGTTTGTGCGTGTGTGTGTGTATGTAGTTCCATACAAATTTTAGAATTTTTTGTTCTCTGTGAAACATGCCATTAGGATTTTGATATTGCATTGAATCTGTAGATTGTCTGAGATAATATGGACATTTTAGCAATATTAATCCTAATCCATGAGCACAGAGTATCTCTCTACTTCTTTGTGCCTTCTTCAGTTTCTTTTAAAAATGTAAGATACTTTTTTATCTTGTCAATAGATTATTATTTTCATGAATTTATAAATTCACATAAATGATTTTTTCTTAAAAGCTGAGGGAAAGGTAGGTTCAGTAAATTCACTGTAATTTCATCTTGCTTTTCTAAGAAGGAAATTTTCTAATGTAGAAGAGAGCATTAATCTATCCATGATTTAATATATGAGCTACTTTGTGGATCTGTATAAGAAATGTAGGAAAGATTTTAGGGAGGAAGATCATTGGCACTGCAGGTGGATGGAAGTTTGCAATTTGGTAGAAATTGATAAGCTGATTCTAAAAATGTATATAGAGATGCCATAGCCAAAAACTACAAAGATGGCGGTACTCTCCCAAAGTGACCTACAAATTCAGTGCAATCCTATCAAAATGTCCATTTTTTGCATAAACGGACACACTGATCCTAAAATGCATAATGAATTACAAGGGACCCCTTATTGTCAATCTTGAAAAAGGACAAAGTGGAAGACACACATGTGGATTTTAATACTTACAACAAAAATAATATGGTACTGGCATAAAGATAGACATACAGATTAGTAGAATAAAATTGAACATCCAGAAATAAACCGATACATCTATGGTTAATTGATTTTTGACTAAGGTGGCAAGGACATTAAGTGGGGGAAAAGAATAGTCTTTTCAATGAATGGTGTTGGGATAACTAGATATCCACATGCAAAAGAAAGCTTGGACCCCTAACTCACGTCATATATGAAAACTAACTGAAATCCCATTTGTAAGAGCCCCAACCATAAAACTCTTAGAAGAAAACCTAGGAATAAATCGTCATGATTTTGAATTTGGCAACAGATTCTTAAATATGATACCTAAAGCACAAGCAACAGGAGAAAATAATAGATAAATTGAACTTCATCAAAATTAACTTTCGTGCATCAAAGGACACTATCAAGAAAGCAAAAAGAGCTCGGCCGATGTGGCTCAGTGGATTGAGCGTCATCCCATGGACTGAGAGGGCCCAGTTTGACTCCCAGTCAGGACATATGCCCGGGTTTTGGGCTCAATTCCCAGTATGGGTCCTTATAGGAGGCAGCCAATCGATGTTTCTTTCTCACATCGATGTTTCTATCTCTCTCTCTAAAATAGCAATAAAAACATATTAAAAATAAATAAAGTAAAAAGATAACACACAAAATGGGAACAAATATTTGCAAATCATTGATCTAAATAGGGTATAGTATCCAGAATATGTAAAGACCTCTTACAATTCAATAGCAGAAAGACAACTCAATTAAAAATTTAGCAAAGGACTTGAATAGATATTTCTTCAAAGGTATACAAATGGCCAATAAGCTCATGGAAAGATGTTCGACATCATTAGTTATTAGGTGAGTGCAAATCAAAACTATAATGAGATATCACTTTACACATAGTAGGATGGCTATTAGGAAACACAGAAAATAACAGTGTTGGCAAGGATGTGAGAAATTGAAACCCTGTATATTGCTACTGGTAATGTCAAATGGTACAGCTGCTATGGAAAACGTTTGGCAGTTTCTTTTTTTTTAGTATGTTTTAAAATCATTTTTAGAGAGGAAGGGAGAGGGAGAGATAGATGGAAACATCGATGAGAGAAACACATTCTTTTCTATCTTCACCCGGGAGACAGTTTTCTATTTATCTTCAGATAGAGTTGGAGAGGTGGGGGGAGAGAGAGAGAGACATGTCGATGTGAGAGAGACACACTGATTAGCTGCTTCTGGCCCGACCCCGATCAGGGATGGGGATTAAACTGCAACCAAGGTATGTGCCCTTGACCGGAATCGAACCCAGGACTCTTTGGTCCATGGGCCGACACTCTAATCACTGAGCAAAACTGGCCAGGGCTAGTTTCTTAAAATGTTAAACAGAATTACCATACAACCTGGAAATTTCATTCCTAAGTATATGCCCGAAACAAATGAAAATATATGTTCAAAAAAAGCTTGTACACAGATGTTCATAGCAGCATCTCTAATGTCTGTTAACTGATGAGTGGATAAACAAAAAGTGTATACACACTGTGGAATATCATTCATCCATGAAAAGGAATGAAGCTCTGATGCGTGATACAACATGGGTAAACCTTCAAAACATTTTGCTAAGTGAAAGAATCCAGACACAAAAGTCACATTTTGTATGATTCCGTTTATACTCATAGAGGCACAGAGCAGATGAGTGGCTGCCAGGGGCTGAGGGAGGAGGGACTGGGACTGGCTGCTTCATGGGCATGGGCTTATTTTGGGGGTGAGGGAAATATTCTGGAAATAGACAGTGTTGATGGTTGCCACCACATCATAAACATACTAAAAGCCACTGAATTGTATGCTTTGAAATTGTTTAAATGGTGAATTTTGTGTTGTGTGAGTTTTACCTCAAAACAGAAAATTTAAACAGTGCCCTGAGCCTCCAGGATGGCACCTAATGGCCCCTCCTTTTGTGGCTGGCTGGCTCCTGAGGGTGGGGGCTTGACTGAGTCTCCCTCGGTGTGAGGGGAGAGGCCCTTTCCCCAGTGTGGGGCTGGTGAGCACACTCAGGCTCTACCCCGGCTGTCCAGGAGGGAGCACTGGAGTCCTCTCCCCCTCCCCAGGCCCCGCCCCAGACCTTTGGAGGGCCTCGATAGTGCTGGAGTTTCCTGTCCATCTGCTCCCTGAGCTGGGGAAGAGGGAGAATACTCCTAGAAGATGCACACTTTGACTTCTTTTTAATTCACCATTAGAAACTGCTATGGTCTGAATATTTGTCTCTCCAAAATCCGTATGTTGACATTTTAATGCCCAATGTGATGGATTTAGGAAGTGTGACCTTTGGGAAGTGATTAGGTCATGAGGGAAGAGCCCTCAGGAATGAGATGAATGCCCTTAGAAAAAGGGCCCCACAGAGCAGCCTAGCCCTTCTGCCACAGGAGGTCACAGAGAGAGGTGCTGGCTGGCTATGAACCAGGAAAAGGACTCTCTCTCTCTAGAAATCGACCTTACTGATGCCTTGATCTCAAGACTGCTAGCCTCCACAGCTGTGAGAAATATATTTCTGGTGTTTATAAGCCACCCATTCTGTGGAATTTTGTCATAGCAGCCTGAACAGGCTAAGACAGATATCCAGGGCCTAGTCCAGAGACTGTTAGTAGGTATGGGTTAATGTCTAAGAAAATAGAAGAAAGGAAAGAGCGAGGGTGGGTGGGAGGGAAAGAAATGTCAGACCCTGCTGGATAGAGTGTAAATTGGTGCAAGCATGTAGGAAAACCATTATATTCATCTACTAAATCTAAATATAAATTGCCTTGTGGCAACCTAACAATTCCGCTCTCACAGATATACTCTATAGATAGATACTCACGCATATTCACCAAAAGACATGTATCTGAATTACAGTTATTATCCTCCAACTGGAAACAACTTAGTGTTCACCAGCAGTAAAATAGATAAGTAAATTGTGATATATTCTTACATTAGACTGTTACACAGTCATGAAAATAAACTATAGTTGCATACAATGAAGTAGGTGAACCTCACAAGCAGAATGTTAGTGAAAGAAGTCAGATACAAAAGAATACAACCTTGAATGACATTCAAGAATAGGTGAAACTAAACAATAGTGTTTAAGAATGCCTACCTAGATAATAAAACTTTAAAAAAAATAGCAAAAAGGGTTTATGAAAGTTCTGATAGTGGTTATTCTAGGAGGTTGAGAGTGTTTTGATTGGGAGGGAAAGTGAGGAGGCTCAGCAGCATGGGTAATGTTCTAGTTCTCATGTTGACTGAGCCTTATGACAGTATTTGCTTTGTAATAATTTGTTAAGGTGTGCATTTATATCCCATGCACTTTTCTGTGCGTATTATATTTCACACCAAAAATATATTCTTAAGTGTTTTTTATTGTTTTTGTGGGGGGTTTTTTGGGAGAGAGAGATAGAAACATCAATGTGAGAGAGAAACGGCTGCCTCCTGCACGCCCCCTACTGGGGACAGAGCCCGAAACCTGGGCTTGTGCCCTGGCCAGGAATTGAACCGGGACCTCTCAGGCCATGGGACAACGCTCAATCCACTGGGCCACACCGGCCGGGCCACAACAAAAATATTTTAATAAAGTTAAAAAATTGAGTAACAGAAAAGTATCAAGGTTAAATCCCTAACAAAATTATAAGAAAAAAGAGAATAAAGAGTACAATAAGATGTACAGAAAAAGAAAACACGTCAGAAGATATGCCCACCAAGCAGATGAAAATGTAACCTGCAATTTCAAAACAGGCTAAAAACCATTAAAGACATGAGAGAACAAAGTAAACTGAAATTGGAAAAACTCAGAAACAAAGTAAAAATGAAGAAAATCATTTAGCCGTGAAGGCTGAACTTTGTAATAATGCTACCGTAATAGAAATAGAATGTGTAAACAGGAAAATTTTAAATTACAAAAGAAACAGATAAAAACAGGTTCAAGACAAAGTGTCAAGACTGAAGACAGGAAAGAAGATTGATATGGGTAATAGGAGTTTCTGAAGAGGAAAACCAAAGCAAGGGACTAGAACAAATACTAAAATCTATAATTCAAGAAACTTTCCTGAAATTAAATGATGTTAAGCTACATATCAAATGACCACAGCACTTACGAAACTAAGCATATGGATTCAGAACAAGCGATATCAAGGAAAGCTCTAGTAAAATTATTGGCTTTAAAGAAAAAGGAAAAATCCTTGGGACTTCTAAAAGGAAAAGGGTTAGTATCTTAGAAGAGAAGTAAAATTAGACTATCATCAGAATTTTTGACAATGTTTTAATGCCACGGGCAAAATAGTGGAGTAACATATCTAAGACACTTGAGAAAGAATACACTAAGAATTTTGTATACAGCAAAACTGGCCTTTGTGTATAAAGGACTCATACAAACTGTTAAGAACGTGCAAGAACTTGAGCAATATGTTCTGATCACCTTGTGAGAATCTATTAGAGAATGAGCATCTGACGACTAAAATGACTAGAAAGACCTCGAACTAAGGACTGGTGGTAAATGTTAAATGTAAAGTTGTAAAGTATGTGACAGCAATCTGCTCTGACAAAGTAAATATAGTATTACTGTTTTTTTAAAAGAGTAGTAGAGTATATGTTAAAGTTCTTTTAACGCTTTCATTAAGCACTTTAATGGTGATGTTAGTATTATAGTTCATACTGTTATGTGTGTAATATATAATAGAACAAATGAGCATATTTTATTTCTAGCATCCCCTGTGCCTTTGACCACCAGGATTTAGGTGTGGAAGAAAGGAGATGCAGATATATCAGAGAAGAGATTAAGTAAAAGCTTTGTAGTCTCGAATTTGAATGGGAAGTATCAATATGAACTTGACATACTTTGTGTCCCTGTGTATGCAAAGCTGTCTCTTGAAATGTCATTGCTTACTAAAGGAATGCAGGGCTTCTTGGAGAAATGGCAGATTCCACATCTAGGGCACAAAGTGTACAAGAATGAGCCGGAATATATTAAATAGCAAGGAAATGATCAAAGATTTAGTTGAGTCATGCCAAAAAGACTCAGGAGTCAACTTGAAGAAACTTTGAAAGATGTGACAATTTGAGCTTCAGTAATGATAATTACAATGGATTGAAACCCCTCAAATACATTTAAATCCATGAGTTCATGATGATATATTTTTAAAAAGTGGTCATTTTTGGAAGATAACAACCAATTTATTTAAAAACCAATAAAGGGAAACCATTATTTGTCTTTCCTGTACTATATGAACTTTAACTGAGGAAACAAAACATATGTTTCTTGTTGTGGCTGGTTTGGCTCAGCGGTTGGAGCGTTGGCCTACGGACAGGAGAGTCCTGGGTTCAGTTTCTGCTAACGGCACGTACCAAAAAAACAAACAAAACAAACAAAAAAATATGTTTCTTCATAAAAGTATTTCAGCTGCTTAAAAAAAAAAATCATTATTTTGCATCCACCAATAGACAGCTGCTAAGAATATAAGAGCAACAGCCAGACATGATGTACTTGCTATCATTTTGCCAGACACGATCCACAGTCTTGCTAAAGGGATTGAAACAGAAAACACAGAGGACCGAGCAGCATGTGGGACTGGCCCCTGAGTGTGCAGTCAGAAAGTCCACACTAGGAGACTCTGCAGGCCAGTGGCCTGGATTCTGTCACAGATAAACTATAAGGAAGTGAAGGGATAGAAGGAGAGTCTGTAGTTTTAAAAGAGACTTAAAAGACCTATTTTTAAAATGTACAAGACTAAACTATAATGTCTAGGGAATGCATATTTGGGCACTACAACTATTTTTAAATGCAAGGAGGTGATTACTGTAAGCATCAGGATAATGATAACTTCTAGGGAGGGAGAGGTTTGTGTTGGGAAGGGGCACATAGAAAAGCTTTGGAATGGCTGCTGGTTTGCTGTTTCTGCGTTGTCTGCCTTGTAGGCATTTTCTATACTTGTGTTTTATTTTACATAAACATTTTTTAAAGCTAAAGTTGTTTTTAAAATCTGTTAGTGGGGTTTAAAGATACTAGATAGCTCTAAGTGGGAGAGGAAAAACTAGGAATTTGGGGAAAAAATTCATTGAACTGCTTCAACATGTGACAGATTCTTCCTGAGGATTTAATACTGTTTTTTAAAAAAAAAACATTAAATGTAGTGCTTAAAACATAATTTCCTTTTTTCTCAACAGTTTCTTAACACACACACACTGGATATTTATCTTGAATTATAGTCTTCACATATTTGAATTGAGATTGGGACTTGCTCCTGAAAGGAACATGTCATTATACTCAGGTGTCTCTGCAGCCTAATAAACATCATACATTGGATATGATGTCACTCCTAAATGTTTTAATTTCCCTCATGTTTCCAGGGCATATAAATCCTTGGTCAATATCGCTTTTAAAAGTAAGAGATTAGACAAGATTACAAATGTTTTTTAAATCCTTTATTCATTTTTTTTTTTTTGTATTTAACAGATACATGTTAGCACCTGTGTGTGCCATGGAGTAGGGAATCAATAGTGAACAAAACAGATCTCTTATATTCTAGTGAACTTTTGCAACTTCAGGAAGCTCAGGAAATCGATACTCAGCAGGATGGAAAAACAGCTGATCTCTTATGACCTGTAATTATGAGTATAAAACTTCACTGGTGAACTTCAAGTAACTATTCTTAAATTAGGCTAATAATGTCCCCCTTTTAATTCTGTGAAATTGTCATTATAGAAAAGAATTATGGCAACTTTGGAGCAGGGTGCTCTCTGGATACTTAATCCTGAATAATTTAGTTCTTTTTAAATTCAAGTCTAATTGTTCCTTATTATTTTATTTTTTTAAAAGATTTTTTTGATTGATTTTTTAGAGGGAAAGGGAGAGAGAAACATCATTGTGAGAGCAAAACATCAATTGGCTGCCTCCTACAAGGATTGAGCCCAAAACCCTGGCGAGTGCCCTGATCAGAAACCAAACCGCAACCTTTCGGTGCACGGATGACAGTCAACTGAGCCACATGGACCAGGGCATTCCTTATTATTTAAAAAATATAAGGCATCTACATTTTATATCTTGGGAACTATATATTTAGTCTTTTTACTTCAAAGGTAATCCATGTTTAAAAATAAAATGGCTGTATTTTCTCCACGTCTTTTTAAAATCACCTTGTCATGTATTACCTAGTACTGAGAGTTAATTGCATTGATACGGCTGTCTGACTCAAGATGGTACTAATACTTATAGGAGATGCAAATGAAGAAATGTTGCATATTTATGTTCTGAATATATTTAAAATTGTCATTTTCCAAGGACATGTTATTTTGTAAATTTTTGCCATTTACTGTTGTCAACCTTAAAAGCACTAAACTTGAGGCTGTCAACTCCTGTCTTTTCTGATACTGGTGAAGCATGGAGCCCTTCTCTGATTGGATTGGTTATAACTTCATGACAACGGGCAGCTGACTGACTGTCTTGTTCAGGCAAAATGAGACCAATTTCTTGGAATTTTCTAAGTGAGCAAAAGTTGAATCATTTTTGCTGGTTTCTGACAGATGCTTCCTGTAGTGCTTGTTAAGACAGAGCACTTAGAGTTCTCTAGAGATCAGGCTGATACATGTACACGTGGTGCCAACTGCTTAAAAACAGTGAGTTTCCTCCTTCCTCCCTCCCTCTCTTTGGCAGGTAGTGAAAGCATGGGATGCTCATGTGACAGCGGTGTGCTCCCAGGATGCCAGTGAGCTCGTGAAGAAACTTGGGGCGGATGACGTGATTGATTACAAATCCGGAAAGATGAAAGAACAGTTGAAATCTTTAAAACCGTATGTATTAGAACAATATTCCCATTGGGAAGGTGAGGCAGGGACCGTTGATAAAGCCTGAGATGGTTTGGTGGCCTTAGGATCGTGTTGGAATCTTAGAGAACAATCTTTGAAAACACTCTATGTCATTAGAAGCCATTTAGGTTGGTTTCTGCTTTAATTCTAGATAGTACTATAGCACAGGAACAAAGAGATAGGTACTGAGGAAGGTGTTTTGCTTATGTGGTCTTTTCAGCTAACTTTTATTGCTGCTTTGTAACAGGTCTGAAGGCAGAATTGGAAGTGTGTTCCTTTCAGTGACATCTGTTACCACAGGAAGAACTTAGAGCAGTGCAGGAAAATTTATGATTAGCACTAAACATTCTATTATTTTGGCTTAATAAAGGCTTCACAGAAACAAAGGCAGCATAAATATTGATAGTGGGAGCACTGTGAATGTTCTCAATGCATCTGAATGCCAGGCTGTGATTTGGCCTAATATACCAAAAAGGAGCAGATTCGAGCCCTGTTCATCCTGACTGTGACCCAGGCAGAAATGGGGGCGGGGGCGTGCTTATTAATCTAGTTTTCATTGGCCAAGACAAAGCTGAAATTGAGAGCATAACCTAGGAATATTTGGAAAGCTGTATTACTGCTGCTTTTTCTTTCTTTAAAAAAAAAATATACACTATTTTTATTGATTTTTAGAGACAGAGAGAGAGCGAAACATCAGTGTGAGAGCAAAACATCAATCGGCTGCCTCCTACATGCCCCCTAACAGGGATCGAGCCCACAACCCAGGCATGTGCCCTGACCGGGAATCAAACTGGCAACCTTTTAGTGCATGAGCCGACTCCCAACCAACTGAGCCACACCAGTCTGGGCTTACTACTTCTTTTTCAAAAGTTTTTCCCTTTTTTGATTCTTTTCAGAAGCCAGTTGTTCTTGCCCAAATTGTGTAGAAGTCTATTTTCATGACTTAAAAAAAGAAGAGAATTAAAGGACCCTGACAGCTTGGCCTTTCTCATCCAGCACCCCTAGCAGCAGGATGGCAGTGCACCCGCGAGCAGCCAGCTGACTCCTCGTTCCTCCAGCCATTTATGGAGCATCTACTCTTGCCAGACTGTTCTAAGCACAGGGTGCGATCCTATGGTGAACAAGACAAATTCCCCTTTCCTGGGCTTATATTCTATCAGGGAGGTTTCATTGGCAAGTGCTCTCAAGAATACTGAAGCAGGGGAAGGGGAAAACAAACGATTGGTGAGGAGTCTGTTGGACATGAGGTGGTTTAAAAACACCTCTGAGGCACTGGAGCAGAGGCAACTGGGGGCAAGCCAGGAGAAAGGGATTTTTAAAGACCTGTTCCCTTCTGTAACCCTCCACCTGGAACAGTGCAGTAGCAGGTAGTAGGTGCTCAATAAGCCAAAAAGAAAAAATACATACATATTTGTTTAATGAATTATTGAGGGAAACTTAGGAGAAGAGCGGTTGATCCAGGTAGAGGCAACGGCAAATATAAAGCATGCTTGAGGGATGACACTGTCCCTTGCAGAGATCCTGTCTGCTACCTTCCTCCCTGTGTGTCAGGACCTAGGCTTCTCTGGGCCTGCGCGCTCTGGCTTCCGATAGTGGTGGTTTTGGTTGATCTCCTACCTGTGCTGCCTCTAAGAATAGCAGTGTGAGACTGAGGCGGAGGCCAGCCCATTCCCCTCTGTCTACCTTCAGTTTTATCCGCGTCGAGTGTGGCACCCGAGAGCAGGGAGCCTGACGAAGGGAAGCCGAGGCCCACGCAGATGGCCCACTGCTGTGCTGCAGCTTGCTCCCCATCTGTGCAGAGCGCTCTTCTTTCTTCGCTCCTTTCCGGTGGGGGACCTCACCAACTTGCAAATGCAGCCCATTACTTTTCTTTTTGATAGCTTTAGTTAGAATTTAGGTAGAATTTGTCACTTCTGCCTGGAGTTTGGCCTTTGAATCCACCAAGAATAAGTTTGTTCCTCCTTCTAAGTCACAGCTTTTTAGATTTGAATCTTAGAGTCTTATAGCAGGAAAGGACTTTGAAATCCTTCACTCCAATTCTATCATGTTACGGTTGAGAAAATCAGGGGTAGAGGGTTTATAAGTTTTGCTCAAGGTCATGCCTCTTAGTCATTGGTGGGAGAACTGTGTCTGCAACTTGATCCTGGACTTCTCTGTCAGGTGGTGCCTGTTCTGTGATACCAGGCTGCCCTTAAGTTTTATTTAAAATAAGTATTAACCCAGCTGGTGTGGCTCAGTGGTTGAGCATCGACCCATGCACCAAGAGGTCGCCTGTTCGATTCCCGGTCAGGACACATGCCCAGGTTGTGGGCCAAATCCCCAGTGGGGGGCATGCAGGAGACGGCCAGGCAGTGTTCTCTCTCATCGATGTTTCTCTCTCTCTCTCTCTCTCTAAAATCAATAAAGAAAAAAAAAATTTTTTTTAAATAGTAATATTTTTTGAAAAGTATCATTTTTGTTTATTTAAAATTTGGAAAGGAAGTAGAAAATTAAAAGCAGAAACTTAAATTCATAATTGTTTATTCTTTCTAATGAAAAGAATACTGTAGTCTTCTAGTTAGGTCATGCTCCTGCACCCAACCTTCCGTTTCTGTTCGCCCTTAGTTTAGTGCCTTGGAAGACTCAAGGTCCACAAAGTTGGTCGAAGCTGGTTTTAGAAGCTCTAATGTTTCACTTTATCCAAATGAATTTAGAAGAGAAAATAGATATACCAAGAAGGAATTTATTAGTTTGCTTACTATCTAAGCGTACATTCTCTAAATAGATCTTTGTTTTGTTTTCAAAAGTATTTCAAAGCATCATTGGGTTTCATCCCCTTTAAGCAGAATCTAGTGATTATAGCAGGTTTAGATTAGACTTAAGAAGTAGAATATTGTCAGTTCCTGTGATTCCATTATGACTGGATTTTCTGGGCTAACGAGTTAGAGCAGAACTGAAGACCAAGAGCAGACTGTTGATTTCCTGATGCCAGGCATGGAACAGACAAACACAATAGAACACTCCAGGTGAAGAGGATGCTTCTATAAGCAGTTTTGGCTCTAGAGGGATTAAAAGTTAATAATTGTTGTGGGTGAAAACCTCACGTACTTGTCATCCCAGTGCATCTGTGCACCAAACAGTCCTTTGACTTACATCGCAAGGATAGCTTTAAATAGTTTCCTGTAAAGCTTGAGAAGGGTTTCTCAACCTTGGCAACCTTAGTTTTTCGATTGTTGACTCTGGGGACTGGATACTTTTTGTTGTGAGGGGCTGTTCTGTGCACTGTGGAATGTTTATCAGCATCCCTGACCTCTGGATGCCAGTAGCCTCTTCTCGCCACCTTCCACAGTTGTGACAACTAAAAATGTCTTTAGACATTGCCCAAATGTTTCCTAACAGCCACTTTTTAAATCATTCTTAAAATATTAGAAAATATACTTTTATGACAAAAAAAATCAGTTACATTTGACTTATCTTGGAGAAAAATCAGAGAGTCGGTAAGTGGGTTTGCCCCTTTCTCCGTTGTCAAAGCAGCCACCCCTCTGCTGGGCAGCAGTACAGCTGGGTTCGTGAGCTGATGCTGGAAGAGACCCCTAGCCAGCTGGGGGTGGGCGCGACTCCTGGGTAAAGACCGACAAGGATGCTTTCATTTGATTCTTCCTCTCCAGGTTTGATTTCATCCTTGATAATGTTGGTGGATCCACCGAAACCTGGGCTCTAAATTTACTCAAGAAATGGTCAGGAGCCACCTATGTGACTTTGGTGACCCCGTTTCTCCTGAACATGGACCGACTGGGCATAGCAGACGGCATGTTGCAGACAGGCGTCACCGTGGGCTCGAAGACATTAAAGGTAGGAGGAGAGTCTTGGTTGGTGAGAGCAAAGTGACTTCCACCTCGCCAGTGTCTTTCCTCTGGGAGGCGCACAGCACGGGCCCTGGAGTCACACACGGGTGGGGGTCAGACTCTGGCCTCCACTTGGTAGCTGTGTGACCCCTTGCACGTCAATATCACTAAACCTCAATGTCTTCACCTGTAAAATGGGGCTAACAGGGCATCTGCCTTACTCATGTTGTAAGGATTAAATGAGCTAACCCATGTGAAGAACTTGGCACAGTGACAAGCTCCCATGAAATGCCAGCCTTTATCATCACCATCTGAAAACTGTCTGTTTTTGTCTTGCCTCAACCTGATGGCCCTCTGTCTTCACAAGTCTTAACACACACATCTCTTGTACTGGAAGGCGAAAACTTTATGAAGACAATGTGCAGTTGGCTGTTTTTATGTTCATAGGATTGGGATATGCCAGTAATTCCCAGCTGGGGCTTTCAGACCTTTAGAAGTCCACAGGCAATTCTGAATTTCAAAAACCCCAAGGAAATTTATTCTCACTTCAGTGAGACTGCAAAGACTAATAGAACCATCAGGCCTTTTCTGGAATTAATATTAACTTGTCCTAACACTGCATAACTATGTGGATCAGAAACTAGCTATTGATGGCATTCTGGGAGTTTCTGAGTCAGCCTGACTCAGAAAGAAACAGGGCCACTTTCCAAGGCTGTAAGGAGCTCTGTCCCCCAACGGAACACAGTGTGGTGGGCGTTGGAGATGCCTCTAGTACCAGACTGGTAGCTTGAGCATCCTCAGTACGTGGCATGTGGCCTGTGTCCTCACAATGATGACAGAGCTTCCCATAATTCCATGTTACACACTTGGTAATCATAGCTCATTGGTTTAAAATCTGAATCAGTGATATGATGGAAGAAGTGATACAAAAAATGAAGATAAATCCTATTTCATTAATTAGACAAAATACTTTAGACCTAGGAAAAGACAGTAGAAGGTTCCTTTACAGTAAAAGGTTGTGGGTCACTATCGAGCCCGCCACCAATGACCCTTACCTGTGAGATGACTGGCTTGATAATTATCTTAACTTGTTTTAATTCTAGAAAGTAATGTGGGACTTTTTGGGGAGTGAAACGGAGAACTGTGGTCTCTCCGAGTCCGTGCGCTAACTGCATACTTAGAACTGGTAGCGAAGACCTGTGGAAGAGGAGGCCAGCACCCAGCCCCGGGGACCGTGTGTGGGCGACGGGCACAGCCCCGTCCTCCAGGGTCCTCCCGTCCCGTGCTTCAGACAGCAGCCAGGGACTGTGTGCAGGCCGCTGGAGAGAAAGTAATTGTAACTGCCCTGTTCCCTTTCCCCTTTCACAAAACTCAGGCTTCCGAGAGCTTTAAAATAAAAGTTTAAGTTTTCTGTAAAATTTCATAGTTTGTGCTCTGGTGCGACCACTTACAGTGCGGCCTTCACAGCTGCCCTCTGAGAGTCAGGCGGATACAGCTCCCTTCATTCCCCTTCCCCTACTTGAACGACGATAGTGGTCATCTTGTGTGAAAAGCTTTTGAGTGGTTTCTGGTGTCTCTCTGACCATGTGCACAGTTAAAGCCTCATTGTAATGCTCCAGGCCCCCTGCCTGCTGTGGTTTACTCTCCAGCAGTGCCCTGGAGACAGCACACAGATCCCTCGGAACAGGACGTAAAATTCTGCTGCTGCAGCCCACTATAAAGACTTGCAGGCGTGGCGGCGGTGACTATTGCTGTTCCTTCTTTAAACCCTGAACAATTGCCAGGACGTTTTCACTGTAGTCTGTCAGGCTAGACTGTAGTGAGAAGTACAGGAGTAGGTCTTCTGTGATTGTAATTAACTGGGCCCCCTGTGAGCTTGGACAGTCTCAGGGCTTCAAACAGTTTTGTGGGGGTTTTTTTTTGTCTTTTCTTTTTTATGTTAGTTACCTAGACCAGTGTTTCCCAACTTCCTTCCTGCTCTGACACATAGAAAATGGTAGTATTTGAAGAGCATATTGAGGTGCTCTGCTCAAGAGCAAGCTACCTGGACACTGCCAGCCCAGGTTCTGCTTTGTTGCCCCAAAGGCTGTCAGGAAGCCGTGTCTCATCACACCTGTTCTAGGGTACGCTTGGTTCTGTCTGTATCTGTGCTCTTGGGATAACTATAATGGTGACTCCTCTAACTTTCACAGTTGTCCCAGGCTGGACAATAAACTCTAAAGTCCCTCAACCAAACCAGTCAGCCATTCCTCACACGCCCGCTGTGAGCTGCCTGGGCAGCAGCTTGTGTGTCGTCGTTCTCCAGTCTTAAACTCTGAGTCGATGTCACCCCAGTCTTTCCTCAGTCCGCTTTACTTTTGTCATAAGTATTGATTATATACACTCGACACACATTCTCAGATAACCCTTCCAACAACCCTGTGCGCTAGGTGGTGGCATCATCATTCTGCAGGCCGGGAAGTAGGCTGAGAGAAGTAGCGTGACCTACACAGCACAGCTGCTAAGGGCCTGAGCTCGGGTGGCCGGGAGCCCACCGCACCGCCAGCTCCACACCATGGCAGTGGCTGCCGCCACGCCGGGGGCAGGGAGGACGAGCGCAGAGAAAAGACGTCAGCTGTCCCCGCAGTTGCGGGCAGGTGCAGGGAAGGAGGCAGCGCGGTCCTGGCTGTCTGGACAGCTCACATCTGATGAAGAGTAGTTGGCAGGTCAGTGAGGTATCATGGAGACCCTCAGTTCACTTGTTATTTTGATCATGGCCTAATAATAATAAAGAATAACAATTCAACGTAAGTATGGCAGTAAAGTGGTCACGAACCCTCTTGGTGTAGGATTTTTGCTTATCTTCACCTGGGGACATTTTGTCCCATAATCAGTTAGGTGGCTTGGGACTTGCTGTAACTATAGGAAAACCCAGCCATGTTGCGTAAAAAAACTTTAACATTGTTTTGCCTTTAAAACTGTCTTATTCCTCTCAGAGCCAAAAACAAAAAATTGTGATTGGATTTATTATATAAGACTATATTTTTTGCCGTATTACCCCCAAAGAATTCTCAAATTAGGTTAAAGCTCTTTTCTGGTGCCTCGGGGCCTTGCTCAAACCTTAGTAGAGAAGGCCTTGGGTCTCAGCCTTGGGGTCTCAGCCCTAGTTTCCCATAGGGAAGAAACTGAGTGTGTAGGGCCACCTAGACTGTCACTTTAAGGAGAGCTTTCCTGTGCTTACTTGCTTGTCACTCACAAGCTGGTGAAGAAGCCTGAGTTCACATGGGTATTTCTTTGTTCGTCCGTTTATTTACTAAACATTCATGGAGCACCCACTATCTGTCAGTCACTGTGTTAAGGTACTGGGCGTATGTATGACTCACTGTGTCAGCATGAAATGGGAGGTCAGTTTGTCCATCTTAGTTATTGAGAAAATACTTTTCTATAATTTGCATTTAGTCAGACTTTACCCTAGTCTCTATTTGACATGTCTTTTTTCCTTTTCCTTTTAGCATTTCTGGGAAGGAGTCCATTATCGCTGGGCCTTCTTCATGGCCAGTGGTCCATATCTAGACAACATTGCGGAGCTGGTGGATGAGGGAAAGGTATGTGCAGCCTGTTGAGTAGCTAGACTGCTCCTTGTAATCCTGGCAACCCGCCCCCCATGCCTAGTCCAGGGGAACTCCGCAGGGGTAGGCTGGACAACACACACGCTGCCCCACACAGCCAAGTTTAAGTGCTGTGTTTTGGTTTTGTCTCCATGGGAATCATAGACGTAGACTGCTATGTCTGAAAAAGAGCTCACACCGGCTAGTCTAATCCTCTTGCTTTATAGATGAAGAGGCAGGCCCAGAGCGGTTGTGTGATTTTCCCGAGGACAGTTGATTAGTGGTTAGCAGAGCTGGGGTGTATAGCTGGGCTGCCAATATTGTGGTGATGGTCCTGAAAAGAAGGCACCACGAAGGCAGTCTGCATGGAGGTGGGGCACGCTCGTGCGTGTACGGTAGGACTGCTGCTGGAGGCAGGCAGAGTTCCAGACGGCAAGGAGACCCAACGCTGCAGAACCTAACCCCCAGCAGAAGTGGGCAGAAGTCAGGTTCCCGGCTCTCCTGTCCCCTGGGTGGTGTAATACATTTGAGGGCCAGTAAATGGTATGCCTGAGAGGGTCAGTGGCAGGGCATGGGTGAAGACGAATGGAGACTGTGGGCATAACTGGTTGGTTCTGGCCACTCGTGTCTGTCCTGCAGCGGGCATTGTGGGGAAGGAGTGCTGCTTATATTCTGGTCATATTTTTGAGGGTGTCAGAAGGTCTTTCAGGGCTGTTGAGGGTTGAAAGGCTCCTCAGTTACTGCCCATTTATTTGGATTCTTACATGTTCTTAATGGCCCTGATAGTCCATCTCTGGAGGATAACCCGAAGGCAAACTCATATTTTGGTGCTGATATTTATGGCTTTATTGAGAGATTATGTGGAATTATAGGCTGGAGAACCTTATACACCCCAGAGGGTTGCATGAGGACATAGATAAAATCATTCCCATTTTACAGATAAAAAAATTGGCTCAAGGAGAGAATGGGACATGACCGTTTGCAGAGGTGGGACCAGAACTCATACTTCCTGACTCCCAGTCCTGTGCTTCTACTTCTCCATCATCAACTGCATTCTTACTGCCTAAGACTGATCGGGGACTCCAGCTTCAGTTGTCTTTTCCTTGTCATTTTATATGGACAGGGAATGGGGTTGGAGCAGGGCAGCGTTCCCACCACAGGGTCCGTGCAAGCTGCTTCCAGAGAGCCCTTTGCGGTAGACCTGCTTGTGTTGGCACCTGCCCCTTGCCGGCCCATTTCATCTTTCCACTGTGGTTTGGGAATGGAATGTTTTTAGGAATTTCTGACTGCTTATGTGCATTTAGTTCTGTGGGGTTTGTTGTTGTTGTGAATCCTCACCCAAGGCTATTTCTCCATTGATTTTTAGATAGAGATAGAGTGGAAGGGAGCAGAGGACAAAGAGAAACATTGATATTGATGTGAGAGAGACCCATCGATTGGTAGCCCCCCACACAACCCCAACTGGGGCCAGGGATCAAACCTGCAACCCAGGTACATGCCCTTGAACCTGTGACTCTTTGGTCCTTGGGCTGATGCTCTAACCAGCCAGGGCAGTTTTGTGGGTTTTTAAAAAAAATTCTATTACAGTCAAGGAACTATCTGATTGTAAAGACCTGTACTATTTTCTAAATTTGCGAGCGTTTTCTTGGACTTCTGAGTCTTGACGTGCACTGCATGGACAGGCTTGGCCTTATGACGAGTGTGAGTGCCTCCTGCAGGGTTCTTCCCACGTCCCGTGGGACACTTATTTTATTTCTAGGAAGGTGGGATAAATGATCATCAAATAAGTTGGCCCATAGATCCCCAGAATGCTCATGTGGTTGTGTTGTAACCCAGGAGAGTCATCCTCACTCAGACATCAAATAATTTTGAATATTAGGAGCTTTATTACCTGCGCAGGGACTGCAGCCAACCTACACAGAGGAGAACTGCAGCCCTGAGCTCAGGGGGAGGGTTGCTTATATAGGACAGGGGTTACTCAAGAGTTTAGCAGAGCAAGCAAGCTACGTGTACAGAAGCAGATATCAGCAGTTAGTAACTGCACAAGTTGTTTATTTTATATTTCTTAACATTTACTAGACCCCAGCCTTGAATGCCTCATTGTCCCGTCTGGCATCTCCTGATTAGTTAAGCTCATGGTCATGGCTGATGCATACCTTCCTCTTCAAGAATTTTTGCAAAAACAGCTCGGGTTCAAGGAACCCAGGAGAGGTTCCTTCTTCTAGCAGATGGAGAATTACTGGGTTATAACAGTTGGAGCCCCATTGTTCGAGAGGTCCCTGTCCTGCAGAGATCCACCACACAACTGTGCTTGTCCTGCTGGCTGTCCAGGCTGTCCACATGCCTACCCCTGCAGCTTTGTATTCAAAACACAGTCTCTTTCTCTCTGCCTGGAAATTACTATTTATGAAACAGAGAAAAGAGGTGACTTGTGTATATGTACCTATTAAATTTGGCAGATAACTGGTAGAATGGGTGAAAAAGGACATGATAGAAATAAAGATGCCCTTGAAGTATCCTCGAACGAAGAGGAGTGCGGGAATGTTCTTTTGGCCTCCTGACCAGGTGACTTGGGCTCAGGAGTAGTTCTGACAGTGAAGGGCTCAGGGACATGGAAGTTGATTTATGACATTGGTGCCACGGTGAGGTCACTGCTTCTTTGTGGGTGCTACAGGTCGTTGACTGCCTGCACTCGGAAACCGAAAGGATCACGTAACAGGCCTGCTTCCATATTGTGCGGGTATGAAGACTGTTAAAATGGACGGGACACTGGCGTTCTTCAGGGTTTGGCCGAGTGCTTGCCTGATTAGTAGGCATCTGACAGAGGAGCTGTAGTTCTTTGACACTGTGAAGCCATGAAGCATATTTTTTAAAAAATATTTTAAGTTTTTAAATACATGATATACATGTGTAAGGTTCAAAATTTAAAAGGTAGGGAAAGTAATTTGAAGATGTCTGATGCTACTGAAATGGCTTCTGTGGGGCAATGTGGCAGGAGGGCCAGGACTGTCCCGGAGGCTTTCCAGAATGCCGCCCACTCCCTGCGGAGACCCACCCACCCCTCTCCCCACCTGTCCTCCAGCGTAATGTTTTCTCTGGGGCAGGATGTTCCAGAAACGGCAAATCCAAACGTCTGCCTCTTTCTTTTGTCTTCTTTTTTTTTTTTTATCCTCACCCGAGGACATTTCTCCATTTTTTTTTTGTTCAGGTAGAGTGGGAGGGAGAGAGAGGAACAGAGAGAGAGAGAGAGAAACATCGACGTGAAAGGGACACATCGAGTGGCTGCCACCCGCATGACCCAACCAGGGCCGGGGACAAACTGCAACCGAGGTACGCGCCCTTAGCGGGTACTGAACCCGGGTCTCTCCGGACCGCAGGCCGACGCTCTAACCGCTGAGCCAAACCGGCCAGGGCTCTTTTGCCTTCTTTATATCTCCTTAGTTTAAGTCTCCTCTCTCCCCTTTCCTCTGACCCTGGAAATACAGAAGCCGTCTCGGAGGTCAGGGCCATCCCTGCTCAAGAGGCTGGACCTGCAGTCCTGTCGCCCTGCCCTGGGTCCCTGGTGGCTGTCCACAGGGGTGTGGACTTGGACTCACGCCAGGGGCCCTTAGGTTGCCCTTGGTGTCTGTCATTGGTCTGTCTCTTCTCACGCAGCCCACCTCTGCGGTTTCCATGTCCGGGAGGGGGGGTGGGGGTGCTGAGGCGGGGTCTGGGGGGAGGTGGGCAGAATGCCTCTAGCGTCCCTCCCCACCCCACTCTCGCGCCTCTGCTGCCCGCTCTGCCCTGCACTTTGCACTTAACACTTGCTTCCGGTCCCCCGTCTGTCAGGTAGGCTCGCTTGGTGTCTGGATGCCTGTTAAGCTCTGCTGTCCTGTAATTCTTACTGGGAAAACGGGTTGAGGGAGACCCTCCCTGCTTCGGCCGGGCCTGTCTTGGCGAGGTCCTTGCTCCACCAGCTTCCCTGTGCTCTAGTGGTGACCGGGCTTCCCTTCCCTTCTCCCCTCGAGGGGTGAGGGGGCTGCCTCAGAGGCCGGGGCCACTGTCCTCTTCTCATAGGAGGGGTGCCAGGGCGCCAGACCCTGGGCCTGGCTTTCTCCAGCCCCCGAGTAAGGAGGGTGCGGCCCGTCAGGAGACCTGGGCGGGTGCAGACTGGACTGAGTGCTCTGCACGGCGTCCGTCTCCGGTCAGCCACGAGCCTGCGGGCGGCGGGAGCGTGCTGAGCCCACGCGCTTTATAGCAGGGCCCCCGGCCAGGTGGCCTGCAGCAGTGTCATCACATCGATGTCCTCGCCGCACTGCAGTCACCTTTCTGTCCCCTCGGGTTTGTGCCCTGACTCCTTTGTCCATGACAAACGGGCATTGTAGGTCTGAGGCGAGGCTGTGCACAGACACGGCCTCATTATCCAGCTAATCTCCGTTGCTGTCACATGTTCAGCCAACGTTGGCATTTGCCTGCCTGTTAATCGAGAGCCTTTTTTTCATTGTCACTTATGGGAAGAGCTGAATGACTCATTATGCCTCAGTCAGCCTTCTGGGTTATTCGCCACAATAGGCCTGAGCAGCCAGATTAAAGCGTGCAGTCGCCGCAGGCTGCTGCCGTCAGTTCCCGACACCCGTGGCCCGCGGACTTCAAAGGGGGCAGAGCCAGATGAGCCAGGCGGTTCACTCTGGAGCTGAGCAGGTACGTTCAGGCTTCCTTTGTGACCTCGGGCACCACTGCTGCTGTGGTTTTGTGACTGGTGTCCAGTGCTCAGTGACGAGGTCATGTTACTGCCTTCTTTCTTTCTTGATTTGTCTCTTGCCTGTTTTGTGTACCTGCTTCGGATTAGTGCCTAGCACTTAGAAAGCACACAGTTAGTCTTTGTGGAATGAATACATTTACATATGATATGAGTCAGGGATCCTAAGAACAGAGCAAAAGGCTACAGTGATTCCCACACTAGTGTGCAGAAAACTCACCTGGGAAGCTTATTTAAAATGTATTTGTCACCTGGCTGGTG